CTGTGTTGGGTCTTCCTAAAACCATCAGCAAAAGGCTTTGCTCAACCAGGAAGGATCTGAGGCTCGAGGGACAGTGGAGAAGAAAAGTGGTTTCAAGTTTTTGGAAAACTAGAACACACCTGTTTGCTTTAGGAAAGCTAGAAAACACCCATTTGTCTTAAACGGTGGAGGATTTTTTCACAGAAGCAATGTTAAAATGAAGGATATAGTTTGTGATCAAGAACTAGGCGGCACATAACTATAATAGACGGTGTGTCATAACACCAAGGTCAAGGGTTCGGATCACCATACCAGCCAGCCAACAAAAACAAAACAAAACCATATATAATAGATTTCATATGTGAAATTAATAAGCACTTCTATAACATATACACCTTGATTCATTTGGAACTAAAATTCTGCTCTAAGTTCTCTGAATCCGGCACTACCACATGGCACGCATGGAAAATACTTCATTGTATCATAGGCTTGACCTCCAACTTGGGAGACCCTAGAATCCACGGTCAAGCCAGGCACTGCTGAGAGTCATTGAGGGGAGAGGGAGTTAACAGGGACGCCAGCAGCACAGGTGGAAATGGGACGTATGGGCACCCCACTAGGCTGACGCACTTTCACAGTGGGAACGGAGACTTTTGACTTTAGATAATGCATTCAGCTATGATCTCCACACCCACGCATCCAAGGGACGGGTTCTGGACACAGCCCATGACCCCCATGGCTGGAAGTGACCCTCAGTGCCCACGAGGACCAACACCATCTCCTGCTACATCCCTGGCCACGGGACTAGATGATCAGACCTAGAATCCCCAAAGACATTTGACTACAAGGAAGTAGAGCCATAGCCCCCTTCCCTGGCCTGTTTTGTCCTTAATGAGAGAAAAAAAAAATCACTTTTTATTTACACAGACTCTGATGTTGCTCACCTTGTACTCTTTTCCCTTTCGTCTTGGCACCGCTAGGCGTATTGGGACCGGCTGCAGAAGGCTTCCTATGAGAGGGGAGAGAGCTCTTGTTTATCTCATTGCAATACAAGCTCAGGGAAGCCAGCGAGGGGCCTCCGCCAGCTGTAGCTCGGGCTTCCTCACGCTGCCCAAAGACAATCTCAGCGAGGCTGGGCCACCTCAACAAGAGAGACACAGAGAGCCACCAGCAACACAGCAGAGCCAAACGCCTGATCTGAGAAGGGACGAGCATGACAAGAGCTCTGTGGAAGGGCACCACGCAGGGAAGATCTCAAATCAGCCAGGGGTTTGTTCACTCATCTAACGTTCTTGTGCCTACTCCCTGCTACTGGGACACAGCAGTGAACAAAACAGGGAGCTCCTTCCAGGAGAGGGAAGATCAGCATTTTCGTCAGACAAGCTTGACAGGTGGCCCAGGCAGGAACAGTGGAGGTGGGAAGGGTGTAACAAAGCACACTTGGCCCAGGTTGTGACAGAGGACATTGGAGACCAGGGTTCAACAAGGGCTGGGCATGGAGACAGGAGAGAATGATGGGACACAGAAACATAACTGATCAGCCCTATCATTTAGTTACACAAGATGAAAAGGGATAAGGAGTCGGGAAAGACAGACAGTTGGGCCAGGCTGGAAGGGCTCTGAATGCTGAGTTTAGGGTATATTTTCCATAAACGGTCAGAGAGTATATATTTTCCTCTTTGTGAGTCATACGGTTGCTGTCACAACTACTCAACTCTCCATTCTAGCGGGAAGAGACCTTGGAAGATACAGAATGAAAAGGGTGAGCTGTGTTCCAATACAACTTTATTCACACACAGTGACATCAGAACATCATGTGATTTTCATAAGTCATGGAATAATCTTTTTTTTCTTTTTAACAACCATTAAAAAATGTACGTATCATTCTGAGCTTGCCAGCCGTACAAAAAAAGGGGCGTTCTGGCTTCACATGCAGCCTGTAGATGGTCGAGCCCTGCTGTGGGCAACAGGGAGATGGGGAAGGGTTTGGAGCAGGAGATGCACAATGTCACAGCTGTGTTTCATGAACACCACCGGCAGGCAGTGAGAAGACAGGCTCTAAAGTTCTAGAAGGACAGGGACCAGCCTGCTGTTGCTCCTCACTCTGTCCTAGGGACTGTGCGTTTGCTCGGGCTGCTGGCAATAAGGGCTTCATTCTCAGACCTCTTCTCTCGGCCTGCGGGTGCCCACCATTCAGCATGTGCTCACACGAACTCCCCTTTGTGGGCTTGTGGAGAGAATGTGAGTGCACAGCTGTCTGGTGTCTCTTCCTAGAAGGACATTAATCCTATCGGATCTGAAGACATTACTGACCGTTACAACACAGGAGGTGCTACTGGTATAGTGGGTGGAGGCCAGGAACGCTGTTCAACGCTCTACAGTGCACAGGATGGCCCACCACAGAGAACGATCCAGCCCCAGATGTTGCTAGTCTCAAGGTTAAGAGCCCCTGGCATGAGGAACAGGTGAATGGAAGCACGGGACTGGAGACACGCAGCATTGAGAAGGTGCTGTAAAACTCTTACCAAGAAGTAACAAAGCCTCAATATCATTCAGCCCTAAAAAGGAATGAATGAAGTCCTGACACTTGCTACAACACGAATAACCTCAGAAACATCCCGAGTCAAAGAGGCCAGAAACACAAGACCATACAGCATGCGACCTGATTATATAAAATGTCCAGGACAGGTAAACCCAGGGAGACAGAAAGGAGAGACTGGTGGTTACCAGGGCTGAGGGGAGGAAAACGGGGAGTGACTGCTGATGGGGACAGGGCTTCCTTTTGGAGTGACAAAAACATTCTGGAATTAGATAGAGATGGTGATTTTACAAATCGTGAATGTGTTCGGTGTCACTGAAGGGTTAGTTTTATGCTACCTGCACTCCACCTCAATGTAAAGACAGAATGACTGGAGCCTGGCATCCCAGTAGAGCACAGATAGGGAGTCGCTGACAAATCAGATGTGGGGTGCGGGGGGAGGGTCGGGATGACTCCCAGGTTTCAGTCTGGGCGAGCAGGAGGGGCAAACCAGGGACAGAGACCAGCAACTCTCGGGAGCAAGTGGAGGGTCAGGGGAGGCCGGGCACTGGGACTTTTGCTGCCGTCACCAGGGGCAGCCCCACTGTCACTGCAGCCCCCTGCTTGCTCTGCGCGGGCTCCCAAGAGAGAGGCCCAGGCCATGCTGCGGCACCTCCAGGCCACCGTGGGGAGCTCTTCTTGGGATCCTCCCAACCCTACAGATTCCTGCCTGTTCACCTGCTTTATCCTCGATCACTCCCCACCACTCTCAGAGTCTCACAGCCAAAAGGACGTACTTACTCTGGGGTCTGAGCCAAGGCTCTAGAGTCAAACTGAATGGGATCCAGGCCAGACCTGCTCAGAACTGGGGGGGGTTGGGGGGTTGTGCCTCAGATAGCTCACCTGTACCTGGGAGACCGTACTATTAATCTCACCGTCAGGGCAAGCGGCGGGGGAGGAACCGTGAGTGATTCCTCCGCTGGCCTGTTTCTTTGCAGTGTGCACCTGGCACAGTAAACTGGCCAAATGAACAAGCTACAGCAGCACAGCCTCAGAATCACTCCCGGCACCCACTAAGAGTTCGACTCTCATCATCCCCACTGTAAATGGGATGCACCTCATAAAGCAGGTGGGAGCATTAGCGGAGATCCTCCGGTGGCCCACCTCTCGCCCAATGCGCAGTGACAATGACACTGAGAGGAGCAGCAGCTCACAGTGAACAGCCAGGCACTGTCCTCACAGCCTTGAAGCCTCACACGACGCCTACGCGGTTGAGCAGCGTCACCAGCCCCATCTCGCAGCGGAGGGCGAGGCCCAGAGAGGTTGAGCCACCCGTCCGGGGTCACCGCAGAGGCCGCACGCCGCGGGGTCTCCGGGGCCTGCACGTCCCGGGCGTTCCCTCCAGGGGTTGGTTCCAGGATCGCTTGAGGGCCTCCAGTCTGCTGCCTGTGCGCCCCAGTCTCAGCCACGGCCGTCCCTCTGGCACTCAGAAACCCACACCCGCGGCTCTTCAACTCACCCGGCGCCGCGCCCCGAAGTATCCGCCATTTTCCCGCTTTCCACTCAAAGGCCGGCTCTTCCCAGTCGGGCCTGCCCCTTCGTCGCGGGTCGGCCCATATTGAGAGGGGTGGCCGCGCGTCGGCGGCGCGCCGGCTGAATGCGGAAGGGGCGTGCCCTGCGCACGCGCCTCCCCCATCTCGCCTCGCTGTTGGTCTCGGCCGCCTGCTCCAGGAGGTGGCTACGGAGGGGCGGGCCCTGTCTGCGTTGGGGGCGGGGATTGGAGACGTACCGCCCCCGCC